TCTAAGCAATGTTTCCTATCTGTCCTATCCATATCTGTAAACTTTGTAAAATAGAAAAATATTTACGGATACTGGTTGTTAACGAGTAGATAGAATTAACAATATTCACAAATATGTTTAATATGTTTTATAACAATAACATTTAAGCAACAATTGTTTCTTCAATCACAGTTTCAAAGGATTACATGCAAGAGTATACTCTTTGACGTAACTAATTTCAACAGCAATCACATTTACTACTGTCATCCTCTCAACCAAATCAAGTGTCTCAACCATAGGCCTATATTAAGAAATTTATTGATTATAATGGTTTCAACAAAAACATTAATATTTGAATAAATTCCAAATCCAATATCTTCCTTACAAGCCACTATTGTATTAATTTATACAATTATTTAGTTTTAATTTGTAATTATTTTATATAGATTATATATTTTTATTGTGCACTGTTCGTGTTATTTTCATTTTATGCAGTTTTTAAACTTAGTATCTAATGAGGAAACTGAATCCAACAATACACCTCTTCTGTGACCAAATTACCTGTTTTTAAACAATTTTCTTATGTGTTATACCTGTATTTTCAGAAATCTTGGTGTCGGTGTTTCTTCGTTTTCCTCTCGGATCGGCGGCATAATGGCACCTTTTATACTGTTGTTGGTAAGTAATCAAAATAGTAAGACTATTTAGGCACAAGATTATCGACAAAAATATTTGCAATGCAAGCAAATGATGATTGTCGCACGCTCATATAATTGCCCCTCACCCAAATTAATTCCCCTCACATAAAGTACAGTAAACCTCAAACCTTCTCGTCAACTTCCAGTACTGATCCCTAGTGGATGTTTGTCAACAGCAAAATTACAAAAATCAACGTCAATAGACTAAAAATTATAAAGCCTTATCATAGTGTATGACTGAATGCCCAATCCCCTATAAATTTAACGTATTCGGTTAGCGCCCTCCAAATAGTGGTACACGAGGACTTGTACAACTACTTTGTTGTAAAGCGAATTCTGGAATGCGCTATAAGAGTGGAGTTATAGTTTAAGCAAAGAAACCAGAATCATGTTCCTTTTACCAGTACTTAACGGTCAACAAGCGCATACTTGCCTACTATACCACAATACGTGTACTATAAGGGCAACTAGTCTAAATATATTTTACGAAACATATTTTCTTATTTGTTTAGGGCCTAGAATAATAATAATAAAATAATTTATAATGCGCTAATTTCAAATAAATGATCAGAGCGCAGAGAGTACAACTAGAGAAAGATTTAAAAATTGAAAATGCGAAGTGGGAATGGTCTAAAAAGAGTTCAAGAGATGCGATTTAAGTTTTAACTTAAATACATCAATAGAAGAGACAGTTTGATGGAGAGTGGCAATTCGTTCCACAGCGATGAAGCAGCATAGGCGAATGTTCTTTTGCCGTATGTTTTTGTTTTAAATTTTGGGATGATAAGAAGAATTTTGTTGTCAGAGCGAAGTCGTCGGTTAGGGACATAACATTTCAGAAGGTGAAAGAGATGGTGGGGGGAGGGGTTGTTTAGATTGAAGAACCTCAAAACAAATGATAAGAATCTTAAAACAGATGCGTTGTCGGTGAGAGAGCACACTCGGGCAGCAGAATTTTGGATTTTCTGCAACCAGTAGTATATTAATATATAAAATTTCTCTAATTCTTTTTATTTGTCCACAGGATCAATACGTGGGATTTCTGCCTCTGGTAATTCTTGGGATATTTTCTATCATAGCGGGCTTGTGTGTTCTACTCCTTCCCGAGACGTTAGGTAGGAGACAACCAATGACAATAGAGGAGGTCGAGATGGGCGGAAGGCTTAGACAAGAACCAACCACAGAAAACCATAATCTGTGAATATCAACATGTTAAATTGGGTCTTTATAAGAAAAGGCATTTTATGGAATCCAGTCGAAGGAGGTGGGGGGAGATACTCTACCGAATAATAGTCTTGTCTATCTACTGTTCCAATGTGAAGAGTTGATTTATGGTAGAGCTGCAGTTGGCAGGATTTGGCCAAAAGTATGGATTAATATGTATGATAGGCATGAGAGTCAGAGTCTTAAGTAAACACATTTTTGTTGTTGTTTGTTTTGTTTATATTTGTGATTTGTGTAGTATTTTGGCTGAAGAATGAATGAATGAATGAATGAGTGTTGACATTTCCAAATTTGGACTTCGTCACTCTGCTTCGGACATTACGTAACATGAACATGGACATTTTGGCTTGCTTCTCGTCGGTCTGCTATCCAGGCGTTTTCGTCGAAGTCATGATGATATCGTTTTTGTCATCGTCTCTCATAAATATCAATGTTTATATATACAATACAGAAGACACAAGGAGGTACGTAGATTCACGTCTTCATGCGTATTCAAATAAAATACGGGCCATGTATAACCTTTGTTTTAGTTGCTGTCAATAGAGGTCATATTAGAGTTCGTGGGGCGTTACCAATTGTGTTGTCGTCGGTGTGTAGTTGGGCAGCTTCTCATATCCCATTGCCTATTACAGTATTCGACTGCATGTGACATTCAACTGCGAAACAAGAAATATTCAGATTTTTATACCTACTGTAGATATTTAGAATTTTATGTAATGGTTAATAAAAATTTTTTTTTTTAAGCACCGACTTATTAATACATATAATAATCTGTTATTGTTCATTACCATCATTATCATAAACTTCATCATCATATCATCATTTTTCTTTCAAATCAAAAGAAAATTTATTATTTAAGCCTGAGTAACTAAAAATCTAGGTCGGCGTTTTTCTCCAAAAGAAGCCCAAAATACTTAGACTAATAAATATGTGTCAAAAGTTTATTTAATAGATCTTTTCTGCTGGACTCAAACATTTATACATAAATTTCTTGTCCAATTCCTGACTCAGACTGACTAGTCTTCCGAGACATACCGTAGTCGGCCTGATCATGCGTTCTGAATTGGACGTGAAATATTGTAGCAAAAAGTTAAGTCTAGTACAAAATAATATGGATAACTAAAAGTATTCACAGATGTGTCAAATGGCCACTTTTAAACTATAAATAATAAATGTGTTACTTTAACCAAAGGTTTAGCCCTGTTTACCATTTCATAAAGCAATTAATAGTAGCCTACTAATAGGCATAGCAACATAATTATAGAATTAAATAATAATAATAATATAATATTAATAACATAATAAAAATAATATTAATTGGAAAAAAGATAATTGAATAACTATAGGAAATTGTCGAGAATATATTTTCCGATCTTACCTTTAGCTCAAGTGTGACCTTATGATAAATGTCTAATTTATAGCCATCCAGTGTAGATATATCATTTCCATGAGAAATAAGGTTCACCAAACACATTGTTTCATCTAAAGAACTACACTTCTGACACACAGGTCCACAGATGTAATTTTTCCTAAAGTAGTCCAGGTTGAAATCCCGCTTGATTATTTCTTCAATAAAAATAATACTTTTCTGTAGAACGAACATAGTTTGAGTGTTGTCTTCGCTTATAACTTCAACTTTGATAAGATTTCTGTCGTATGAATTAATGTTTCCAGAAATTACTTCTGTACTGATGAAGACAAGACATGATTTACCTGTCCTAAATCTTGCTGCATTGTAATAGATCTCATCCCAACTAAACACTTCACAACATTTAGTAATGAGACGTAGAAATATAAACTCTTGAAGAATTTCACCAAAGTCGAAATAGAAAATGTCTTGCGAGTGAACATTGCTGTTCTGTGTTGACATTAAATTGATCTTTGGCAGTCGACACGAGAGAAAAAAAGTCCCGACTTGGTCGATTGGATCAATAACATTAAGCGGGAAAAGTAAATGTGTTCCCACTAAGAAACGAATGATGTAAGGGTAATGTCGCCATATGTTTTTATTTCTACAAATGTGTTCCAGTAATTTACTGTCAACAATGCCAGTGTCTTCCAAACTCTGCCATAAATCAGCTACTATCCGATTTCTTTGGTGAGGTTCAGGCACATTCACTAAGATTGTCAGAATGTCTATAAGCATTTGAGGGTCACAGATAACATAATGTCGCAGTGTCTCATCACGTTCATTGTATATGACATCACCGGATCTGTCAAAGAAGTTCAAGAATTGGCACAACTCATTCTGAGAAATGATATTACATGTTGATTTTACTTCCTCTAAGATCTGTACTAAACTCATGATAATGTATTTTTGTAGGCGAAACCTGTTCAAAATTTCATGAAATAAAAGGTATTTTACTGAATGATTCTCCTGAAAAAAATTCAATTTTTTAATCTCATTATAGATAACCGTTCGTAGCACGTTGCGTTCTGGATCTACTTGTAACGAATTTTCAATAAAAAAGAAAAAGCTGCCTAAAGGATGGAACGCAAGTAACCTAGAAAACGGTTTGTAGAGATGTGCTTTTGCAAGCTGAGTAAAATGCAAAAGTGCATTTACGTCAATAACACTTTCTCGTCTTGTTCCTACAAGAAACACTACAACATTTTTAATGTCTCCATGCATAGCAACCGATTGCAACCAAAACTGTAACCGTTTAATTTGTATCCCAGGATTCATAACCGCTTTAACGGCGTTGAACACTATTAGATATACACCCTGCTTTGGCATGAAGAGATGGTGGGTATTATAGTATATGTTTTGACCTGCAAAGTCCCATAGACTAAGTCTAGTATCCAAATAGGATTCATTACGAATAACTGCTTCCATTGATTTTTGGATATGCTTTACTGGTATAGATGTTGTATTCTTCACTTTCAAATATGAAAACCATTCGTAGACAACAAAGGCAATGATCGGTGACAAAAACAGCATTAAGCTGAACAAATATCGTGGAATGGTATATTGGTCATCGCGTAAACTTAGAGTTCTTAAATCTACCAGCTCCCATCCACAAAAATATGCTATAAATATTCCAGCTACAAAACCAATAGATTTCTTGATAATATACATTTGAGGAATATACCCATAAGCAACTAACTTTCTTCCTACAAGGACTCCAGCTGGAATTACAAAAAGACATGTACATACAAACAGTAGGCGTAAAAACGCTGGCCCTCCGATAAGGCCCGCGGCTGTGAAGCAAACAAAAATGCTTATCAATACAGGTATGCAGTTCCGTCGACTCATCGACAATATCTTAACGGGAACATACCTAAATGTGAGAACAGAAATAACCGCAATGATGAAAATTATAAAATTATAATATGCTTTGCTGTAGATGACTAATATCATTTCTGTAACATTATCGATAGTAAATGTTTTCTGTTTCGGATGCACCATAATACAGAATGCTATGCATAATCCAGTCCTACAACCTGTTCCCATAAGCACGCCAGTAATTAAGCCAGCTATTACATAAAAAGCTGTTTTCACAGTGGAAATGTTGATCCATAGACCCAACTCAAATGCGCTGTCCGCGAGTATCATTGGGATAGTGCATCCACAACCGAAGCGGTACCCATTGTGAACATCGATTCGGTACATTAAGCAAAGAATATATATCCATACAACTAGTCCAAATCCAAACGTAAACCCACCGTTTAGAAACATGATTAGCATGGGAATAGTGTGTGTTATCTGATAAAATGCGTCTTCCTTTAAATTTTTTGGCCAGATCTGTCGATTGATTTCTGAATTGCTACCGGGCCTTGTGGTTTCATTCACACCGTGTTTCCTCACATGTGATACTGCCCACCATGCTGCCGAACTTTCAAAGTCTTCTAGTGGTGTATTTGATACTTCACACCACTTACTGTTAACATCACTAACTTTTGCTTTGACAACATTTGTTTCGATTCCTATTGTACTGGGCTCGTCAGGCCGAAAATACTTTCCTTGCAAGCGTCTACTTGTCGACGTTTTTCCAACACCGTGATCTCCTAAAATTAGGATTTTTGATCTGTTAAAAGGAATTCTTCCTCTAATTCTTGCTTGTTCATAGGCTGTTTTAATACCTTTATCGTCTGCAAGTACACGCAAATTTGAACTACGTTCATATGAGTAGAATCCCCTTAGATAGCTTAAGTCTTTTTCATTCATCTCGACGTACAACTGTTCTTCAAATATTGCTTTCAAACAAAGATGCTTCACTGAAATAAAAGTAGACCTAATTATACAGGCCTTATATTTATAGAGGTGAACCCGGAAGTTATCAATAAAGTTTCCGGGTTCACCTTTTGTATAGAGGTGAACCCGGAAACTTTGAGTTTAATCTATTTATAATTTCAACCTATAGTATAATCAAACTTTTAACGAAATGGTGTTTATGTATACATACTTTAAACATTACTGGTGAAGACTAATTGTTTTCTACATTTTCTGAAAGTTTCTTCGGGCTAATAAAAGGTAGACACTAGACACACCCGCTGCACTACAATATTTTCATCAACCAAAATGACTCAACTAGCTTCCTTGTGACCCGCATACCTCAAACCAAATGTTTATAGGATACAAAGAGGTAGAGGCATACTTAGCTAAGGTACTGATGATTACCATAACCCACAAACAATACATTATGCGGTATGGACATCAATTGGTAGTTTTATGCGATTTTCAACTACTTGATCGTGATTTTTTTTTTTGGAAGTGTGGGGGGGGGGGGCGAGTATTATTTGGAGGGACGTTCGCATCCCAAGATGCGTCACTGTACCTCCATGGTCCTAATGACCAACTCATACTTATTAGGCC